AGGGGAACTAGTCATTCATGTAATTTTCCAACTATAAGCATTGCAATAGTTGAGTAATAAAATCAGCTGTATCCCAGCTCCTTTGTTTGCATTCAGCTTTCGGCTGTTCCATTTAACAGTTGATTGGGGCTAGAGATAAAAGCCTTGTGTGGGAAGCAAGCACATTCATGACAGCTTCCCAGCATAGACATGCCGCACTCTGAGTACAGCTCAGAACTAATTTTAACTTCTCTCAGTTTTCCAATCGAAACTGGCAGTAGGTCTTTAACCACTTAAGTCCTCCTATAGCAATTTTACTGTTACAAGGCAACCTTCCTGTGCAAAATCACATACATATATATATACACACACGGTATTGCACTTCTACCATAGAGGGGCATACTCACGCCACCGGCAGATTGCATCTGCTGTGAACACTCACAGCAAAAGCTGATCTGTGAGTACCCGTTGATCATTGGGCAGGACACAGACCGCAGCTCTGGCTATGTAAAAAATGCAGAGCTCTGTTCTGACAGGTGGAGGAATGAAGGATCATGTGTCCCTGCAAAGCTGGGAACACAATTCTTCACTTCCCCTAGTAAAAGGACCACCTACTGTACACAAATCACATAGCTAGGCACATAGTTAACTCTTTGATCATCCTAGATGTTTAATCCGTTCCCACCCAGTGTCATTAGTACAGTGTCAGTGAATATTTTAAGCACTGATCACTGTATTAGTGTCACTGGTTCCCACAAAGTGTCAGTTAGTGTAAATATGTGCGCCACAATATTGCAGTCCCGCTATAAGTCGCTGATTGCCGCCATTACTAGTATTAAAAAAAAAAAAAAATTACAGTATATGTCCCATAGTTTGTAGATGCTATAACTTTTCTGCCAACTAATCAACATACACTGATTGGGATTTTTCACCAAAATATGTAGCTAAATACATTTTGGCCTAAATTTATGAAGGAAGGGTGTAAGGAGGGGGGGTGGGGGGGGTGTAAGGAAGGTGGAGGTGTAAGGAGGGGGGGGGGGGGTTGAAGGAAGGAAGGGAGGGAAAGTGGCAGGAAGGGAGGGAGGGTGGCAGGAAGGGAGGGAGGGAGGAAGGGTGGCAGGGAGGGGTGGGAGGAAGGATGGTAGGTTAGTCGGACTCACATGCACATTCAGAAGCATCAGAGCTGACGGCTGCGGTTTTCAATATCCCGCCCACACCTCCTCTGAAGCTGCACAGAATGGAGTGTGGGCAGGCATAGGGGGAAGCAGAGCAGATCAAGCCTCTCCTTCTCCTCCATCCTTCTTCAATGAAGCAGCTGAAAGGCGCAAAAGAGGAGGAGACGTGGCTTCCAGCTGCTTCACTGAAGAAGGAGGGAGGAGAAGGACAGGCTTGACATGTAAGTGATGCGGTCGGCAAGTGGTTAATTAGTATTATTAAACAAAACAGACACAAATGGCTATAAAATAAATATTTAGAATCTATACTGTATAATTCTAGTATAACACTGTGCATTATAAGCACCATACATTCATAACAAAATATGCACAATACAGCCCTAAAGAAGATTGTAAAGTCTATATTTAAAAAAAAAATGCTAAATAGGTTATACTTACCTGCTTTGTGCAATGGTTTTGCACAGAGCAGTCCACAAACCACCTTTTCTGAGGTCCCCCGCTGGAACTCTAGGCTCCTCCTCTTCTCTGTGTGCCGCCATAGCAAGCCACATGCTAAGGGGGCACACGTGCATGCTCACTCCCGAGCTGTGTGTGTGTCTATGAAGTTGCACGCTACATACACACACAATGCGGCTTGGACCAGCCTCCCAGTCCCTCCTCACAGCATTTGATTTACCTGGGTCCCTGTTAGATGAGGAAGAGAGAGGAGAGTAGACTGCAGCGCCAGGTACAGTTCTGGATCCCTGACAGGCTCAGGTAAGTGTTTTGAAAGGGGGGGGGCAGTTAGTGGGGTATTTTTCACATTAATGCAGGGAATGCATTAAGGGAAAAACATCCAGCCTTTAGAAACACTTTAAACCTCTGGGCAGATTAAAAAAGATATACATTAATGCAGCTCTGTAATCATGAAAACATCATTTAATGTATTTTTTAAATGAAACCAAAGCACTTGATGACCTGGTAGCATTCTTTTGCAATCCCTGTATAGCAGGGCTGGAGTGTGAGAGAATGAGCACAAGGAGCCAATCTATTAATTTGCTGGCAAGAAACATGTTGATAGGAGAAGACAGCAGAGTGACAGAGATGAGCTTATTGCTGTGCTGCTTCACCTTTCACAGTCCAGACACAGTCTGGGATGAGTCCAGGATGACTTGGGCTCAGAGGAAGTCTGTTAAATGATGTGGACCATCAAACTGAAGACATCTAGCAGAAAAATAGAGTACTGCACGGGAACTTTTTGGGACTGGTGAATATTACATCGGGACTGAAGGTGAATACTGTCATTTTAACTTTTAATGGTCTACTTATTTATTTTTAGTCTAAGTTCTGCTTTAATAAATAACGCTTATGACAGCTAATAACATTTGTTTACTATGGGAAGCATAGGATACCTGGATATGAAGTTCTTCCCTCTATTGCTTAGACTCTTAATACAAAAATTTAAAGAAAAGAAAATTTGGAACTGGGCATAAGAAAAAAAAAAAAAACATTACTCATTAAGATGATAACTTGACTAATGCAATCCTATTATATAACTACGGAGACAGGCAACAATCTCTCTTTGATGGGTGGTCCGTTTAGAAGATATGACCAACCTTTAACAAGACATTTTGTGCTGCTTTTCAGGAGAGCACAAGCTGGTCCCAACAAGTAAACAATCCACTAAATGAGCCTTCATTAATAGCCTTTCTTGAAAACATTCAAACAAGAGACTTGGCAAACTCGAAGCAGAATGTGCCAACAAGGAATTTCAATACTTCAAAATGATTTAATTAGTCCAGACATTACAGCACACTGGCTCATTAAGCAACAGCAAGCTTTCCTTCAAACCTTTAATTTAAGATGTAGGGTTAATTGCTTTAAAAAGCATTATGTGAGATTGCTGGGTGGGAGGGGCGGAAGAGTGCAGGGGCTATGGGTGGGTGGGTAGCCTGGAGGTCGGACATAACGTCAAACTCCAATCAAATCAATGATACGAGCTAGAGATTGGAGTGGGTATGCATGTTTTGAGTCTCACCCCAAACTAGGAATCTCTGATGGGTATAACTCGAGACAGATTCCAGGGCAATATGTGGGCCATGAGGGTTTTGGGGGTAGGAGGATGGGTAGGGGGATGGGAGGGTGGTGGTGGGGTGAACAGATGGGGGAGTGTAATCATGGAAGGGTGGGGAAGAAAGTTCACACCTCAAGTTGTCTATGTTTGGAAATGTGGAGAGGGTGGTGTAATAACATCAGTGATGAGCTTGATTAAGTATATGACTTTTAATGTCAAAGGATTAAACTCTCCGACAAAAAGGCATGATACTTAGGGAAATATACCAACACTCCATAGATGTAGTGTTTCTACAAGAGACACATATAACCCATGATCCAAACGTTAAGTTATATACGAGGTACTATCCTATGTGGTTTTATGCAGATTTCCCAGTTAAAAGGGCTAAAGGAGTAGCAATCGGGTTTTCAAAAAATGTAGACATCTTTTGGTCCCAAAAATGTGTGGCTATATGAATGCAATAGAAGGGTTAGAAATGAGGGAAGAGTCATTGCAAGCATATATAATGGTCATACTTAAAGAAGGGAAGGATAACGCCTAGTGTGCTAGTTACAGACTCATATCCCTGTTAAACATCGATACAAAAGTTTATGTCAAAGTACTGGCGACTAAATTGAAGCTGCTGATGCCGGAGTGGATACATCTTGACCAGGTAGGTTTCATCCCCACAAGAGAAGGAAGGGATAATGGCTTGAGATCATTGTTCCTATTACAAAAATTAAATAGAGAGAATCAGCCGACATTATTCCTGTCGACTGATGCCGAAAAAGCTTTTGACAGGGTTGACTGGGGATTTATGATCGATACGTTAGAGGTATAGGAATAGGGCCTAAAAATGTAGAAGAGGAAAAAGGGACTTTATAACAGCCCGTCAGCAGCAGTTAAGGTAAATGGATCCCTTTCCCAATTCTTCAAAATGTACAATGAAACCAGGCAAGGATGTCCACTATCTCCATTGTTGTTTGTTCTATCTCTGGAACCCGTGCTAGCAAGGGTAAGACAGTGCGTAGATATAGCTGGAATAAAGATAGGGGAAGTGGAGCATAAGGTGGGAGCATACGATATGTTATTTTATATTGCAAATCCTAAAATAACATTGCCAAATTTAAATGACAATATTGAAACAGTACAGGGAGTTATCAAACTTAAAAATAAACCCCGCAAAGTCAGAGATTCTAAACATCAATATCCCAAAGTCAGAAAAGCGGAGTCTACAAAAAGAATTCCCATTCACCTGGAGGGAAAAGGAAATAGGTTATCTGGGAATAAAATTGACCCATTCAAGAAAGGGCCTATACCGGGCAAATTATATCCCTTTAACCACTAGCCTACAGGGCACTTATACCCCCTTCCTTCCCAGGCCAATTTCCAGCTTTCAGCGCTGTTGCACTTTGAATGAAAATTGTGCGGTCGTGCAACACTGTACCCATATGACATTTTTATCATTTTTTGAGACAGATAGAGCTTTATTTTGGTGGTATTTAATCACCTCTGGGATTTTAATTTTTTCTTAAACAAACCAAAAACCACAGAAAATTTAGAAAAAAAAAAAAAAGTTTTATTTTGTAAATAAGTGATTTTTCTCCTTCACTGATGTGCGCTAATGAGGCTGCAGTGATGGGCACTGATAGGCTGCACTGATGGACACTGACAGGTGGCACTGATGAGGAGGCACTGGTAGGTGGCACTGATGGGCATTGACAGGCATCACTGATGGGCACTGAAATGCAGTACTCATATATGGCACTGATAGGCGGCACTGACTGGCACTGTTAGGCGGCACAGATAGGTAGCACTGATGCACACTGATAGGCGGCGCTGACGGCTGACTGGCATGATAGGTGGCAGTGATTGGCAGCACTGATGGGTGGCACTGATGGGTGACACTGAATAGGCAGCTCAGATGGGCACTGATATGTGGCATTGATGTGTATTGGTAGGCATTGCAATGTGGCATTGATGTGGCACTGATGGGCACTGGCAGGTGGCATGGATGAGCACTGACAACTGGCACTGATGGACACTGACAGGTGGCACTGCTGGGGCTACACAGATCATCAGGGCACACTGATCATCAGTGCCCTGATGATCAGTGTACATGTCCCCTCTGAAGAATGCCGATTACCATCTCTCCTCTCCTCTCGAGCTGTCAGCGTGAGAGCTCGTGAAGAGAGAAATGCCGATAACCGGCACTTCCCTATTTACATGCGATCAGCTGTGATTGGACACAGCTGATCACATGACCGAGCCGACATCTTTGGCTCTTTCTGTTGATCGGTGATCCACTGTGTCCGAGGGACACAGCGCACCGCCGATCGCCGCACTGCGCGATCCCGGAGCATAACGTGTGGTTAGAATGGAAGGATGTCATATGTTGTCCTCCCAGAACCGCCTTGCGCCCCTCATTGTACTGTATGGCAGGCGGGAGGCGGTTAATAAATGAAATAAAAGATGAGTTGAGAGACATTCTAAGGGAGGAGCTTCCTAGATAGGTCGTGTAAAGATGGTGATAGTATCTAAAATTCTATAGACGTTTCACATGCTTCCAGTAAATCTACCAAGGCCTTTTTTTGGGGATAAAAAAGAAGGTGATACTCAGATTTATATGGGCAAATAAGAGACTGAGAATTCCGCATGAGGTATTGTGTAGGGCAAAAGGGAATGGGAATTTGGGTTTGCTTAACTTTAGGAAGTATTATTTAGCGGTGATATTATCACGATTAGTAGACTGGACATTTATTTCACAAGGGAAAGGTTGGGTAAATATGGAAGGATTTTGAGTAAGGCACAGTTAGGGAAGATTGTCTGGATACCACAAAAATTTTGTATATTAGACGTAAATACTAGTTCACTGACAAGTTTGAAGTGTTTGGGATAAAATATATATATATATATATATATATATATATATATATATATATATATATATATATATATATATAAGCAAAAGGGCAAAAGGGATGAAAGTAGAATTTAGTATTGACTCCTCTGGTTGGTATGGAGTATTTCCCCCCCATAAATGGAAAATATTTCCGGTAAATGGAATAATGATAAAAAAGCACGTTTGAAGGAAATTTTGAATAAGAGAAATTGCACACTTTTCAGGATTTAAAGGGGAAAAAAAAAAAAAAAAGTTATTTCTCACATTAGATGACTGGCGGTACTGCCAATTAGGACACCTTGTTGCAATGCTCCCACAACCATTGAGGACGTCGGAGGATATGTATCCATTTGAAAAATTGTTGAACGTAAAAAGGTGGCGCCAAAACATGCCACCTCGAGGATATATAAGATCCTTATGGATCTGGAAGGAACTGATCCGCCCCCGTTCTTGGGAAAAATGGGAGAAGGAACTTGGAACAGAAAGTGAATGAGCAACAAAAGAATAAAATAGTTGCACACGAGGGGATAAATAGGAGCACAGTGGAAATGAATTACAAAAGTTTGGTGAGATGGTGTTACACCAAGTGTGACACATAAGCAGCAAGGGGATATTTCACCTTTATGTTGGAGAGGTGGGATTGCCCGAAAATACAGGTATACTGGAAGGAAATAGTCCACTATATCCAGGAATTATGTGGGATTACCTTACAGAAAGACCCGTGGACGTGTTTATTTTTTAACTTTGAGCCTTCAGTGAAAACGTACCAAAACAGGATATTATATCATTTACTCAGTGTGGCTAAGGGCCTGATCCCCAAGTTTTGGTGGGCCCCAGAGCCACCAAGAATACATGATTGAATATACAGAGTTGAAAATATTTATAGGTTGGAAGAGTTATATCATATGGAGGAGGATAAAATGGAAAATTTAGGAAAACGTGGAGTGGTTGGGCAGATTTGAAAACATCTAAACGATACCTGGACATGGGGGGGGAGTTCAGGGGGATAGCCCAGAGAGATTTTAAAGGAGAATTGGACAGGGAGAGTGGGTGAGAAAGGGAAAGGTCATAGAATTAGACAGATAAGTGTAATGAGGAATTGAAAGTAGGCAATAGGTGTGGACAGGGGTAACTTGATGGGAGTGGGGGTTGGGAAAGGAGCTTTAATTTGGAATTATGTATTTATAAAATATGCGTGTATTAGGTTAATTTATATGTGTATTGAAAATTTTAATAAAAGATATTAAAATATATATATAACAAGTATTATGTGGACCTCTAAATACTTTTGAATTACCAGATGCTTTAAATAGAAAATATAAAAATAGGATTTTTGTACTCGCCAAAAAATCCTATTCTTGGGAGTCCACTGAAAAACACAGGAAGTCTTTCACCTTCTGGTTATGCTGCTGCCTACTGGAAGATTGGACACTGGCAAACAAAGCTGCCTAGGATAACCCATCCCAATACCCATATGCCTCAGTTTTGTTACAAAGCAGTAGGGAGAGGATGATAAAAAAACACAGAGGGGCAGTTCCTGTGTCCCTCGATGGGTTCCAAAAAAAACAGATTTTTATTATAGCGAGTACAGATATTCTATTTTCTCTCTCATATACATTGACGGACACAGGAATATTTTCACCCTTGCTATATCCAAAAGCAGTCCAACTGAGGGGTGAGCTACACAGCAAACAATTGCTATCAGGCCCAACATGAACAAATGAAAAAAAACTGGAAACTGCATGCAGCTCAAAAGCAGCCTAAAAGGACCTTATACTTGAAGCGGGAGGTGGGCATAGCTGAGCATGGATGTGAGTGGATGTGTGCTTTCAGGCTCCAGCTCTACATCCTGCCAGCACAATACCTACCTTTTTGAGTAGTGCCTCTCACCGACCCCTTACTGAGCCACCGGTACGCTCTCCTCCAGGACTAGAGCCCAGATGTTCTGCAGAAAAGAAGAGGAGCAAGCCGAAGCCAGAGAAGGCACTGGTCTCCTTCCTCCACATGCAGCTAAATATGCAGCTAAATATAGGGGAAGGGATGCAGCAGTACAGCTTGAGTGCTTTGCCTACAGTGCAGCCAAGGGCACCTCATCACCACACCCAGAGCATAAAAAAGGTCTGTTCACCCTCACATGCTTCTAAATCCATGAATCCACAAACCAGCATCAACATGGGGGATCTACCATTGCACCCACAGGCTGCTGTAAAACTACAAATACCAGCCATGACAAAGTCTCCCTCTGAGGAACCATCTTTACATAAGGTACTGTCTGCAATCTATACATGCAAAGTCTATTTATATGAAATGTCAAAATGTATTAAAGAGAACATGGTATGCCTCCGTCATGACCTTCAGAAAGTATGGGAGCATACACTTGAAGGGAACATCAGATGAGGCCACTAGCTCCACCTGAGTAAAAACATGGAAATGGGTGGTAGCCTTGCAAGGGGGAAATGAGGCTTGATGCTAGAAAGATAAAGAAGTGCTCACATAGTATCAGCGAAATATGTACTGACAGAAAAAGGTACTTTAGACCATAAAGATTGGAAGCTGGTTATCCCTCACCACCCAAAAGTGGTGGGTTCATCCCCATATTGCTAAAAGGAGAGTACATATCAGAAAGAAAGTATCACAGCCTGAACAGCAGACAAACAAAAAAAAACAAAGTTCCTCTTGGAGACTGAAGAGCATTGTCCTGGAGGAGATTAGAAACTACCCTAGGTCAGAAGAAAATCAACTAACCTGAACCCTTCCCAGATGCTGCAAGGTAAGACATTCGTCTCCCAGAGGTATTAAATTCAAGAAAAGAACCCCGAGAGGTTGAATTAGAGAATGAACACCTTCAAGGAGTTCAATTAACAGTTCCTAAAAACCCAGAGAGAAACAATTTTAATCACAGAGGTTAAACAGAGGGAAGGTACGTGTGAAACACTCTATAAAAACAATTGAGTGCTGTCCGTAATACTTTTTTTTTACTTGCACTAACATACAGTTTTTCAGGACAAGCTTTTGGGGTGTACCCCCTTCTTCAGGGTCAAGCAGTACTGTTTGGGCCTTGAAGCAGGGGGGTAAACCCAGAAAACTTGTCCTGAAAAATTGTACGATAGTGCAAATAAAAAAAGTATCACGGACAGTACTCAATTGTTTCTGTCGCAAGTGCACTAATACTGCTATAATCACCTCAAGAAACTCTCTATAAAAAAGTCTTAGCCAAGGGATAGGAGGTTAACAATCTTAAGTAAAAATAGAGAGGAAAAAATGCACACTTGAAAGTGCAGATACCCAAGCTCTAGCACAACCTATCTGCAGAAAGGGAGTACACTCCTTGAACGTAGCCTCATGACACACCTTGCTGGACAAACCTTTCCATTGTGGAGCATCATAAGAATTACACAAGTAGAGCCTTACATAGAATCCAGTCCGCAAAGGTCATGTCCAGGCTGGCCCTGTGACATCCAGTCAAGTGGGGTTCGAAAGTGACGCACCAAACACCAGCCTGGGATCAGCCATATGGAATAGCTGCTACTAAAGAGACCAGCTCTAGCAGTGATGTAGAGAAGATTCTTGATTGGTGAAAATAAAAAAAAGGGAAAAAAAGAATAAAGGTGCTAGCAGAAACAAGCACCTAAGGTATGCTGGAAGTGAGAGGGGTTAGCCCAGGCAAGCCTAGAGGTTTTTTTTTTTTGTTTGTTTTTTTATGCCTACTAGTGTCCAATTATCCTGTAGGCAGCAGTAGAACCCAAAAAGGTAAAAAAAACTTCCATTGTCCCTTAATGAAGAAAGAAATATTTTTCCTGTTCCTTCATCATTACTATTATAACTAACTGAAATGTCAAATTTGTATGGCTGTATTTTATGCATTAATCTTCCTTGCAAGTACATGCAAATTACAGAAAATAGTTACTTTATGAAAAATTGAGGCAAATCACTGTTTAGTCAGTTTCATGATTTAAGTGACTGTTATTCTCATGTCTAATGATACCATTATTTTCCTGCTGCATCTTTACAGATCCATGTTCCACCTACCTGCCAACTTGAAAATAAATCAGAAGTATGGTGGCTCTGATCAAAACGGTGACACAGGGCCTACACAGCTTAGATAGGAAACTGTATTGTCAGTAGCCTGGCTATGCAGTGTGACAGAGGTGTGTAAATCACAAGGCAGACGTAACATAATTACACATCTTTAGGCAGGTAAAACACTTTACATATATAGAATTCTACTCTGTATTTAGCTGCTTGTCTTAAGCTATAGACATTTTTTTTTTGTTTCGATAGATATGGTAAGGGTTATCTTGTAATAATGTTTTCCTAGTTTTAACATATTTATAAAAAGTGGTGTCACACACTACCTGCCAACTAGAAAATAAATTAGGAGGTATGGTGGCTCTTTTTAACTGATCA